AAAAATGACCCGTAATGGTAGGACTTAGTCCATGAGGGACTTAGTCCATGAGGGACTTAGTCCATGAGGGACTTAAATGGCAAAAGGTACTTAGAAATACTCTTAGGAGTGGGTTACAATCGAAGTAACCATATTAGGAAAACACATATTGAGTAATCGTGAACGAAAGATCATTTTGAAAGTTGTGCCAGCTACTGAGACAATGAACAACGCGACTAGCATGATAGAGGAAAACGAGTACTACTTGAACACCTATAATCAAAGATATGTAAGTTACTCTACTAATTCAAGGGTGAATTGATGGGAAGTGTGATGAGAATGATTAGGGAGTATTTGTCAATGAATTATCTCTGAATCAAGTGTTAGGCTAGTTATAACATACCAAGTGGGTAGTAATGAATATGAATTGAAGGTATAAAACACTAAAATACTATTAAGCTCTTGCATAACGTTCTATGAGAGAGAACGAATGAAATAATAGTAAGTGAGGGAGCGATCTCACCTACTTGTGTTGTAATTGATAATAATGATAAGATAACCACATGATAATAATGATATATGTGATAAACATAAGAACCTTATGATGTAAGATTCTATAAGACTTATGCCTTTGTTTGACACTTGAGAAACGATAAGGACATCCGAACTACTTGTATGCATGACTATCATCTAAAGTATATGTATGTGAAATATCGGGATATATCCCGAGCAGTGCTAAGGCACTTTAGTATTAGTGCTAATGCACTTCCGTATCAGTGCTGAGGCACTTTAATACCAGTGCTAAGGCACTTTCGTTAATCGATGGCAATGCCACCATATATATATTCGATATTTTGTTATGTCTTGTGCTTATTGCATTATGTTATTGTTTGGTATTGTGGTTAGAGACCCAATATATGTATACTCTTGGCGAGAATCTTATTAGAAAACTGAGGGAAGCATGAGGCTCAAACTATAATGATATATCTATTGTACCTTAAGTAGATAACGCTTGATTATGATCATGCATGTACCTACTGCTTATTACCATGTCTTTCATCATGTTTATATTTATGATATTCGTATGTTAATCTAGATTAGCGATTATACAGTTGGGCTTTGTAAGCTCAGCGTTTGGATGTTTTCGTTTGCAAGTTAGTATATTGAATCGTTCAAGAAGCACCGTCGTAATAGGATTTCCAACATTCCTCACAGAGTATTGTATGGTAACTTGTAGTGGGCATGTTTATTTATAGGACCCTTACTTGTGTATTTGGAGATGTAAACTTTAAATTGTATTGTTTGATTTAAATCTATGTGTCATAGAGCTCCGATTTATGAAAAGATTTTATAACTATTTTGGATGTCTGTTTTGGTAATCATATCATATTATGAAATAGAAAGAAAATAAGGTTTTGGGTTTAGCAGTTAACCACCTTAGTGGTTTCGTGTAACACTTTGATTACTGGATTCGTGTTGGATTCGGATATGGGTGTTACAGTGATTACGAGGGAGGCTTGGATGATTGAAAAAGTATTTATAGATATCTATTCCATATCGGCTTTGCAGCATTTTCATGGTTTTCAAAGAAGCAACAAACGATAGCTCTTTCAACATGTGAAACAAAATATATAGCTGCAACAGCGTGCACTTGCCAAGCAATGTGGTTGAAGAATATTTTGAACGGGCTAAATTTGACATAAGAAGAACCGACTTTAATTTATGTTGACATCAGGTCTACAATTTCTCTCAAAGAATCATGTCTCCTATAGTCGAAGCAAGCACATTGATACAAAACATCACTTTAAACAAGAGCAAGTGAAGAAAAAAAATCTGTAATTAGTCTACTGCAGAACTGAAAATCAATTAGCGTACATTTTTACGAAGTCATTGAAAACTGATATATTCAACCGACTCAAAGAAAAGTTCGGAATAAAAATCAAGTTTAAGGGTGATAAAATTATAAACCTGATTTTTTATAGATGTCGAGAACATTAAAGTGACATCAGCTAATAAATGTTAAAAGAATGAAAATGTAGCAATATTGAAATAATGAAGTAGGCATCAATTATCCAACATGTGGCAGTTGAAGATAATATGGTGGGTCGACAAAGCTTGGAGATAAAACGTGTAGCATCAAATTGATGTTTGGAAGCAATTTGTAAATTACTTATCAATTAAGAAGGGTTATCAATTAAGGTGGCAAAAAGATAATAGCAGCGGCAACAAGTTTTTTTATGACAAGGATCAACGGAGGCGGTTAATTAGTGCCTATATAAACGCTTAGATGATTGAAGTTAATAAATATAGTTGTCGAAACGATTTTTTTAAAGGTGTGAGAAAAGGTGAGATTTTGAAAACCGCATTAATTAGTACCAAAATCCAAGTTCGGGAGTCGGTTACGTGCGGGGAAGGATTAGCACCCCCACAATGCCCTAAATCGGTACCTAATCGATTAATTAACGTTTTTGCAATGAACTTTACAAATTCGAAGTTAATTTGAATTTTGATCCCATAAAACAAAAATGTAAATTTAAAACATTCAAGAACACTCAAACGAATTAAATTAAAATTACCAAGTCATTTTAGAAAGATAAAGAATGTTCGATTATTTACAAATATCGAGACCAGATCTTAAAGATATAACAACCTTTTCTCGATATATTTAAATAAACGAACATTTCTTTTTCTCTCGTTCCCAAATTTTAGGTGACAAATCAATTTTTTTGTTTCACTTTCAGGATACACTTTTATTTTAAAATCATTAAAAGTAGACCTCAAATCAGTTATGACTGCCTACTTCAACAATTTTAAATTAAAAGGATATTACCCTTAGTTAAATTATGTAATAAGAGTCAAGTTATGCACGTGAGGCTATCATGTAAATTATGCAAAAATGATGTCATGCAAAGATTAATTAAATAAAAATATATGTTACACCTAAATCCATACTTATGAACCGTAATAACATATGCACACATATCATCATCACTCAAACCTAGGATAAGTATACACCCGAAACGAACCCTAACTAATCACATACATACACGTAAGAAACTTAAACATGAACTAAAACGTAACATGTAAAACTTGGAGCCCTAATGTCTAAATCACAAAAACAAATAACCAACATTTGTGACTTAAATTAAATGCGCATGAAATACAAAGATCAAATTAAAAACACAACAAATTAGATTTAAAGACTAAAATGCCAATTAACCAAAATTACGAGCCAAATGCGTAAACAGTAAAAAAGATATATGAACAGATGACTAAAAAAAGAAACACTTACAAACATGAAGATAAAATTATAAACTTGAAAAATGTGATTTAGTGACTAAAACGAACATGCAACAATTCAGAAGTTAAATGTCTAAATTAACAAAAACTAAATAACATAATATTTGGGACTGAAATTAAAGCGCATAAAAAAAGATGCAAAATTGGAAACAGAAAACATGATTTATGGACCAAAATGCATGAAACCAAAAAGTTGAATGGCTCAAGCGGCACATAACCACGCGCAAAACAGGATCCCTAAACTCACTAACGGCGCCGTTTTGGCCATAAAATATATCTGGTATTTTGGGTAAGGAGCTAACCTAGCCCTCATTTATCGTCCAACAGCCGTTATGCTCTCTTCTCTCCCTATCTCCTCCATTCCTATCGTCTCACTCTCATCCCTTACAACCCAAGAATCGACCCCGGAACCTACAAGCAACGACCCCTAAGTTCTACGGCCGACGAGACTCCTCAACCTCAGACCCCAAAGCTTGCTCCGGTATTGACACCCACTGACAAGGTAACTCGAAAAACCCAAATCTATTTACTCTTTTACTTTGATTCGAAAGTAATAAATGGAAAAGGAAATATGGTTGCATGCAATTGTTGAAGGAAATCCATACCTTTGTTTATTTTTTTGTTTCAAACCATGAACACACCCTATATCACACTCCTTTTGCAATTGTTGGAAACCTTCTCCTTCATTTCTGTTTCAGAATACCCCTATTACAAGACAGTAAAGCGTGGTTCCCCTGGTTATTTTTGGTTCTGTCTTCGCGATAACTGATGGATGTCCCCCCCTGTTATGGTGTAAAAATTCTTCTCCTTTTTCGTGGTCCTCTCGATATGGTTACCCCAAATAAAAACTGAACCTCTTTTCAGTTTCCTCATACCATTATAAACCTCAATCTTATTGGTAACTTCTCATTCATGCTTGTTAACTCCCCATAACCGTTTTTATTTTAGGGAATTCTCACGTGGAACAGAGGCTGCTCTACTGGATCATTGAACCTGAATTGGGTCTTCAATTGTCTTGGGTACGAGTTGGGTCACAAGTAATTTTCTATAAACCCGGACAAAATGAGCATCTACAATAGTAATGTGAGTGAAAAAAACGAGAGAGTGAATGAAAATAAATAGAACTTAGCAAAGCTTTTTTGAGAGTTGAATTTGTAAACTATTCGAAACTAGTATTACATTGTATTTTGTTCGTACTAATAATGTTGTGCGAGTTATAAAATACATCAAGTGCCCACCCACTATTCCAAACCCTGTTATCTGCCGGTGCAAACTACAAAGTTAAAAAATTATAAAATATTCTTACTACACCTTTATCATGAACATTACATTTCTAGCAGGAACCTACACTGATGGTGGAAAGATAGATTTGAATTCTGGACTTAAAGGCACCTTAGAAAAAGAAATTCTATGCAGTTTGCATTAACAGAATTTGTAGTTAAGTAGTTAGTTAGGAATGTTAGTGGTTAGTCAGTGGTTGTCTATATATGTGTAAAGGAACGTCTTTATTCAAGAAATACAATTATCTTATTCTGTTTTCTAAATTTTAGTATGGTATCAGAGAATAATAGTTCTTGAAGTCAGGGAGATTCAATCCAAATTTTTAGGAATGATGGTCCGAGTAGTGAATATTATATTCACCCGAATGAAAATCCGTCGCTTGTTCTTACTTCTGCGCTGTTGACAGGGAGCAACTACCACAGTGGGCGAGGTCGATGAAGATGTCGTTGATTTCCAAGAACAAATTACCAATCGTCGATGTTTCGATCAAGGTTCCTAGGGAGGATGATCCGAAGTATCGAGCGTGGCTAAAGTGCAATAATCTTGTGCTTTCTTGGTTGCAACGAACCCTAAGTTCTGAATTTAGGCAAAGCATGATTTGGATCGATTATGCTTACAATCTTTGGGCAGATCTTTTTGATCGGTTCTCTCAAGGAGATTTTATGCGAATTTGTTATCTACAACAAGATTTTTTTTCTTTGCAGCAAGGTACGCTGTCTGTCACCGCTTATTATACGCAGTTGAAAATTGTGTGGGATGAAATGTGCAATTTGCGACCCTTGAATACGTGCGATTGTTCTGTTAGAGAGTATAGGAAACAAGATTTTATTCTCAAATTCTTGAAAGGGTTGAATGAGAGTTTTTCTGTTCAGAGATCTCAAATCCTTATGATGAAACCTATGCCTACTATAAACGAGATATTTTCCATTGTTGTTCAGCATGAAAGGTCTGTTAGCGTTACTGTTTCTGTCGATGAATCTAATATACTACTTGCTAGAAGGTATATGTCTAGTAATAAGAATGTACAAATGGATGACTCTGGAAACAATTATAACTCGAAGAGATCTTTCAATTCTGGTAAAAAGCCCACCTGCACATATTGTGGCATAAATGGGCATTTTGTGGATAAATGCTATCGCAAGCATGGTTTCCCACCTGGTTATAAGAGTTCTAATCGACTACACACTGGCAAAGCAAGTCGGGTTTCTAATTTTGACAACCAAGAACCTGTAGCTTCTAGGGGTGTATTCGATTCGGTTTGGTTCGGTTTTTTACTAAAAATCGAACCGAACCGAAATAAATGGGTTTTTAGAATTTAAACCGAACCCAAACCGAATGGTTGTAAAACCGAATTATATGAAACTGATTTTTTCGGTTCGGTTCGATAATGCGGTTTTTTCGGTTCGGTTTATCGGTTTTTCAATGAAAAATTCACTTGAAACTATAAATTAATTTTTTTTTGTCTATTCGGTTCAATATGGAACAAATGGGTTCCATATGGAAAACCTGAACCGAACCGAATCAATAGAATTGATTCTTTAAACCAACCCGAAAACCGAACCGTATAAGGTCAAACCAAACCGAACCGAACCGTTTTACTCGGTTCGTGTCGGTTTTTTGGTTTTCTCGGTTTCGTTGCTCAGCCCTAGTAGCTTCTAATTCTTTTGATGCAAGAAGTGGTTCCTTTTCTCTTACTAAGGAGCAATACAATAGCTTATGTCCTTAATAAAAGAAAGAGAGGTTGCACAAATTTCAGCTTCTCAGGTCAATGCTCTCTCTTCTGTTTTTGATGCACCAGCAGCATCTGGCTCAGGTATGGTCTTTACCTGTTTTAATCAAATCCCTAATGTTAAATGGATTGTAGATTCAGAAGCTACTGATCACATTGTGAACTCTATTAGTTTTTTTAGTGAATGTTCTCCTGTTGATGGTGAGTTTTTTAGGTTGCCAAATAATCAATTGGTTAAGGTCACACACATAGGAACTGTTGAATTTTCACCAAGTCTAGTTCTTAAAAATGAGTTCCTTATCTCTAGTTTTGCTTTAAATTTGAGTTCTACTTCTCAGATTACTAAAGATGGTTCTTGTTGTTAATTCTTTCTCTTAATTTTTGTGTCATACAGGATTTGAAACTCCGGAAGACGATTGGTATAGATAAATTGGTTGATGGTTTGTATGAGTTGGAGATTTGTAAAACTCAGAATTCATATGTTTTTGCTTGTAATACTTTGTCTGGTAATCTGTGGCACAATAGGCTAGGACATCCTGCTAGGCAGAGAATGAGTTTTTTTTCTCAATTGAACAGTGATGTATTTGTTGACTCTACTCTTGATTGTGAGACTTGTCATTTGGCTAAACATAAGAGACTTCCTTTTTCCTGTTAGTCAGTCTGTTTCCAGTGTTTGTTTTGATTTAATTCATATGGATGTATGGAGTCCTTTTCCTGTTAAGAGCATCTATGGACACACTTATTTCTCAACTGTGGTGTATGGTAAAAGTAGATTTTTATGGATCTTCCCTATGAAAGCAAAGTCTGAGGTAAGAAGATTAATTGTTGAGTTTTATCAGTTTATAGAGACTCAATTTTCTGCTAAAATAAAATGCATCAGAACTGATAATGCAAAATAATTTGGTTTAGTTGATTTTTTTCAAAGAAAAATGCATTGTGCATCAAAACTCTTGTACTCACACTCCACAGCAAAATAGTATAGTTGAAAGAAAGCATCAACATATCCTGGCTGTTGCAAGGGCTTTGAGGATACTTGCTCATCTTCCTCTCTTTTTTTAGATGGATTGTGTTTTACATTCTATTTTTCTTATTAATGTTACTCCTACACCTGTGTTAGGTAATTCGACTCCTTTTCAGGTTCTATATCAGAAGAAGCCTGTTTTGGATCATCTTATGTTTAGATTTTGCTTCTTTCCTACCTAAGCCAAGAACAAAAATGCATCTGAGGGCTGTTAAGTGTGTTTTTCTTGGGTTTCCTAAGAATATTAAAGGTTTTAGGCTTTATGACTTGGAAAACAAATATGTTTTTGTTTCAAGAGATGTTTTTACTGAAAATAGTTTTCCTTTTAGAGATAATCTGAGTTGTTCTTCTCCTTCAAATATTGTGTTGCCTGCTTATTCTGATGACATGTTGTTTGAAGATGTTGTCTATTCAGGTGGGCCACCTGACGAGGTTCAACCTGTTGTTGGTCCATCTGTATATCCTTCTGCTGAAGTGCTTCATAGTACAGGTCCTGAAGTACCTCCTCTTGTGATTCCTTCTACTGCAGCTTCCAAAGAGGTACTTCCTCAATCCACTATACCTTCTAGGAACATTCAGTTACCTAAAAAATATAAGGATTTAAAAGTATCTCTGCCTAAAACCAGAACTACCTCTCACAGTATTGCTCAGGTGCTTTCCTATGACAAGTTTTCTTGTAGCCATAAGTCTCATCTCTGTAGTGCTTCTATACTTACTAAACCTAAGACTTATAGTCAGGCTGTTAAACATTAATGTTGGAAGGAAGCCATGAATGCTGAAATTAAAGCTTTAGCTGCTAATAATACTTGGGATTTGGTGCAGCTTCCTCGAGGTAAACTAACTATAGGTTGTAAATGGGTATACAAAACAAAACTTAAGTCTGATGGTACTTTAGAAAGATATAAGGCTAGATTGTTGCAAAAGGGTATACACAACAGTCGGGTTGATTTTCTTGATACTTTTAGCCCTGTAGCAAAAATTACTAAGGACTTTTTTGGCTATTGCTGCTGCAAAAAAAATGGAACTTGTGTCAATTAGATATCAATAATGCCTTTTTGCATGGGGATTTGCAAGAGGAAGTGTACATGGATTTACCCCTCGGCTTTACTACTAATCAATCTGGTCTTGTTTGCAAACTAAATAAGAGTCTCTATGGTTTGAAACAAGCTAGCAGGAAGAGGAATGAGAAGTTAACTACTGCTTTACTTTCTCAAAATTTTAACCAAGTTGCTTCTGATTTTTCTCTGTTTTTCAAAGGTACAGGTTCCAAGTTTATTGTTTTAGTTGTCTATGTGGATGATATTATTTTTGCTAGTGCAGATATGGAGGAAATTTGTAAGGTTAAGACTTATCTGCATGATGTGTTCAAAATTAAGGATCTTGGGAGTTTAAAATTTTTTCTAGGACTCGAAGTTTCTTGTTCTAAGAGTGGTATTAATATGTGTCAAAGAAAATACGCTTTGGATCTGCTACAGGAAACAGTTTTTTTAGGGTCTAAATCTGTATCAACTCCTATGGTTGCAAATGCTAAACTTTCTACAACTCAGGGTCAACCTCTTTCTGATATTACTGGCTATAGGAAGTTGGTTGGTAAGTTGTTGTATCTTACTAACACTAGACCAGATATTACATATGTTGTACAACAGCTTTCTCAATTTGTGTATGTCCCTACTGAAGATCATTTAATTGCTGCTCATCGAGTGCTTCGATATTTAAAAGGAACTCCGGGTCAAGGTTTGTTTTTTCCAGCAGAAAATGATCTGAAGCTTAAGGCCTTCAATGATTCTGATTGGGCTTCATGTCCTGATTCACAGTGATCACTCACAGGTTTTTTGTGTTTTTCTAGGTTTTGCTTTAATTTCTTGGAAGTCCAAGAAACAACAGACAGTTTCTCTTTCATCCAGTGAAGCAGAGTAGCGGGCTAGTCTTTATTGTGACAATCTCTCTACTATTCGAATTGCAGAAAATCCTGTTTATCATGAGCACACGAAACACATAGAGATTGATTGTCATCTGATTCGACAAAAGTTGCGGCAAGGAGTTATTGTTCTAATGCCAGTTTCCTCTCAAAATCAACTGGCAGACTGTTTCACTAAGGCATTGTCTACAGCTTCTTTTCAGAGGTCAATTTTCAAGTTGGGCATTCAAAATTTGTATGCTCCAACGTGAGGGGGATAACAGAATGTGTAGTTAAGTAGTTAGTTAGGAATGTTAGTGGTTATTCAGTGGTTGTATATATATGTGTAAAAGGAACGTTTTTATTCAATAAATACAATTCTCTTTCTGTTTTCTAAATTTCAGTATGCATAGATGTGGTAACACCAAAATAGTTTCAAATGCAGGGAAAATGGAAAGGAATATCTCAAGAAAAAAGACGAAGAAAAAACACTAATAAAAAGAAACATGCTTCAAAATTTGGCACAGTTTGAAGATATTAGAAAGGAAATAAGAATAAAATCGAAACTGAACCTGATGAAGTTGAAGCTGGTGGTGGGATGGGAGGCAGATGATTGAGTCGATTGTTTCTAAAACTATGACAATGAGATGCATCAACTTAAACACTAGTCTAAGAGTAATATATATGAAAAAGAGGGGACAAGCGCTGGTGGTAAGGAAGCGTAAGAGCCAAGGGGTTTGATAGCATAAATGAAAAACCTGTCAAGAAAGGAAGACGGAGAAGGAACCGTTAACTGGAACATCTCCTTCTAGATGATTGTTTGAAAGATCGCTGCATCGGTTGATAAAATATCCTATCCATTATCTATTGTTCTTGAAGCCAAGATAAAACAGCTAATGTGGAAATAAAAATCTGATAGCAACACTCACAGAACTTGAAGGGACATAATAGCAGTTATGGACATTGGAATTTGACCTGTCAAGCTGTTGTTGTTGAGACGCCTGTTCCACAGGAAGAAAGCATCATTTATATTGTGCTTTCATCCTAGCTAATAATGGCTGACTACATATAATAACTAAAATCATGTATATATACTAGAAAACAAGAGCAGAAATAAATTTAATAAATTGGCCACATTAAAAAAAAAGTGAAAAGTATTCGTACAAGAATCGAAGACTTTTAAGATTGCCCAGAGTAGCTGGAATGTGTCCGGTTAAAGCATTCAAGTAAAGATCCAAGCTCACCAAGTTGATCAAATTTCCGAGATCCTCCGGAATTATCCCAGATATGTTATTACCATATAGCTCCCTGTCATTAAAAATTGAGTCAGTATCTTTTAATGAATGTGCAAAAACCCAAAAGATATACAACCTTCTCCGGGGTTAAGATGGCATTACAAACAAAGCTTGTGCACAGCGATAAAAGCACCGAAAATTTGCGCCTACAAATTATTTCTTTTTTTTTTTCCTAACCTGGAACGCTGGAATTTCACCCCAAGTTTAACTCCGACATCCTATGAGCATGTGTTCATTCAAATCAATCAAAAACCATTTGGCAAAGAATGCTGATTTTGTGCTTTCCCTCCATTTATTTATCTTTTACTGCGCAGAATAATTCTAACAAAACGAGAAAAAACATATTCACCTGACTAAACTTATCAACTTACAAGTATTGCAAATTCGTAAGCTGACCAAGCTGTAGAACCAATTGACCAGAAAGATTGGCATTCTGAATATCACTAAGTTGACAAAAGCAAAAGCGTTTATCACATCAAACTAGAAACTCAGAAGAACCACCAACTGAAATAGCAAAAAGATACACAAGTAGAACTTACATTCTTGTCACACTATTTTCGCTGTCACATGTAATATAAAACCATTGGCAAGGGTTTTCATTGGTTGCGTTCCAACTTTGAAATACGTCACTAGAGTTACCCAAATTGATCTTTAAGGCATTCAAAGCATCAACTGTTTAACACCAAGAACAAAGCAAACTGTTATTGCTAACCAAAACAAGTTAATTAGGTTGACCACTACTAAACTAAACCAAAACAGAAGGAAATATTTCGCTGTCACATGTAATATAAAACCATTGGCAAGCATCAACTGTTTAACACCAAGAACAAAGCAAACTGTTATTGCTAACCAAAACAAGTTAATTAGGTTGACCACTACTAAACTAAACCAAAACAGAAGGAAATAAGGACGAACCTTCAGCATTGCCTGCAACTATGGAAAACAAATTCAACGCCATCAACACAGTTTTTGCTCCTTTCTTTGTCTTTGATTTTTTGATTCGAACTACAAAATAAAAGAGTCTGATTTAGAGAGAAGTATTGTTTGGTAAGCGGGAAAGAAGAGAGGAAAGTATGGGAGATGAAAAGTGAGCGAGAGGCTCAGAGTGAGGCACTCCTTTTCTTCTTCCGGTTTTGGCTTTGTTTTGCCAAGTCAAAGTCATTGAGAAAGAAAGTGTGATAATAACAAAGGGTAAAAAACGCGCGCGTAAAATTTGATTCCTTTAACTAATTTACAAATTCTATTTGAAGTGAGGATTTTTTTAATTTTTTTTTCAATAGGTCTATTATCCTTAACTTGAGAAGGATGAACAGTTAATACTAGTGTTGTTGAATTGAATGCTGGAAGGATAAATGGGAAATAAATGCAGCATACTACATGTTTTCACCTCTTGAAAAACAACCAACCAAGTAAACGCAGTTTCTTTTTCTACTCCAATGCAGGAGGTGGATGAGGGTAGACAAACGTTGTCCCCTACCTCTCTTTTCACAAGCTTTACATTTAAAATCGGATCGAAATTTATTTCCACCAAATTTTTTCTAGCCTATACTGACTCTAAGTGAGTGAAATATACGTGATGCAAGTGAATAAAACAAGCCATTGCCTCCACTGTCGAAGATTGGAAAACATATGGAATTCCCCGTTGTACGAGATTGCATGGAAACACAGCCTGTTCTATTTGCAAAAATCATCGTATCTCCTAAACTGTCAACTTCTTCCCATCTGAATTTTCAGTCACAATTAAGTCGAAAAACCCTGACATACTTTCCAATATGGCCGAGGCATATCAAAATCAGTTCGCCGTTCAACTCGACCAAAAAGTCTCTTGAGTTAGTTCACAAGGATGTTTTAGCTTGTCGAATATCTTTCAACGACGGCTGTCCCTTGTCTTGGGATCAGAGACCGAATTCCTCATCTATGCTTAAACAATAGAAAGCGCCCTTCTAGAAAACAGGGCTGTCATTCCGATGAATCGAACCATTTGATTCTCTTCACTGCAACGGAACGCTTGTTATCGAAACTTGTCCTCGACAAATGATTGAACTCAGCTTCTCTTGGATCATCATCATTGATACCGAAAACCATGCAATCGGGTGAAGTTGGCGAAGATGAGAAGCACATTCTGGCCCAGTATTTAATGTGAACAATGTAGGAAGACCTTGGAAGGGGTACGTCGATCCCTAGTTTGGCGAATGCGTGGTAGAAAAAGAGTTGAGCAGCCTGAGACATGAGCAACCAGCCATAGTTGGAGTGGAAAATTCTTTCATCGATCAACTTATCGAGATCAGAGATTCCTACGAGGCATTGTAGAATGGATCATAGAATCTGCAATCCGAACTTTTACAAGAGAAGTGGAAAAGAGATGGATATCGACATGTTTCCGATGATGGACGAGGGATTCATTTAAGTGGAGGTGGAGCCAACCTCCATTAACGGCAAACAGCCAGAAAACTCGTATGATGTTTGCCAAAATGATACGAACGGATCGAAGCTAAAATATAATTAGGAAGATTGCACCACTGTCCCATATGTTCAGCTGAGAATTTACACTTTTTCATGATTTGTTTATCATGAAAACACCTACAGAACAATGAGGGGATTGATTGATATTTATAGGATTCAGGTCACCCTTTAGCAGTGTTCATGTTAACAACGATGTCTTGAAAACCCAGTCCTAGTTTAACAAGGATACTCGGAGTTCAATTTAGGTTTTCTTCTTTACAAACAAAACAACAAAACAATAAAGACGAATAAAATATAAAGATCTACAGCCGGATCATGTCAAGTATTTTGATCCTAAATGTTTGACTTTATATTCGTGGATGACTAAGGAAGAACTTTAAAATGTAAGTTCAATGAAGAATCGCCGTCTGTGGGAATCAAACCTACGACCATGAGTTAAAAGCCACGAGCTCTACTGGCTGAGCTAAGACAGCGAGGGTTAATGAGGTCTATGTAGAATATCATTGTCTCTGAGAATATTCAAGCTTATAGCACTAGAAGTTATCCAGAAAGTTGAAAGAAGTAGAACTAACTTTGAGTTTATTAATTGCATTAAAACTCTGTTGGGGCTGAAGATAAGGTTTACAAATTCCAGGAGACGAAGTATTTTCCTGATCAATCAGCTCTCTACTGTTCTCTGCAAGTACAGATGAAAAAAAAAAAGCCAAGGTTGACTGACAAGTAGTCTTTTTAAAGTAAATTTCGACTTGCATTGGTAACCAAATAATATGCAAAGACAATACAGAAGGAACGCGTTGTTCTTCCGGGACGATGAAACTGTCTTCGAAGTGGTATCAAATCAAATCAAATTCCCACCTCATCTTGGTTTGTATCAGGCTATCAGCCTTGTTCATGTGTGTTGTCTGTTAAACCCCTGTGCACAGTTCATATATGCCTGCGTGATCGGATTATTTGTGAATAAAAGACAAAGGTCAGTGCCTTCAATCGAAATGTCACGCTCTTAGATCCTCTATCGAGCGCTTTCTTCTTTCCTTCAACCTTCAAGTTTCAAATTACGAATTAGATACATATTTGTATCCGACACGATAAAACATCGACAAAAATTAAACATAACCATGTCAATTCAAACAAGAAATGATGAAAGTTTTTGAGTTGACAAATCTCAAATTGATAACCTTCTTTCGTGGAACGAAAATTAAGCAAATTGAGCATTAAATCTTCATCTTCTTAGAAGAAATATGCCAAGGAGATCTTGAAGAAGTTCAAGATTGAAGAATGTAAGGAAGTAGGCAATTCTATATATACATACACGAAGCCGTTGAAAGATTGAGTTAACCCTGATCGAGTCTGAAGCATTTTCAACTCAGTTTCCATGGCGGAGCATGTTAACCTTTTCCATTGTGATTGGCCTTACGGCCTTGAGGGATTTTTCTCGACCACTGTAACTCTCTTACGCTTCTTCTCCCTCGTCGTCTTTGCAGCTCTCTATATATATATATTGAATATAGTCTAATTTTCTTCCTTCTTAAAATTTTCTCTTCTGATAAAGAATCAACAATATATTTGTAGCTGAATGGAGTCATGAGCTAGCATGTGCACAAATAGATTGAAAGGAAAGAGTATTATTTCTATTATACTTAAAAATATAAATAATTTTTGTATTTTTGATTGATCATCCATTTTCATGTCCTATAATTTTATAAGTTTAATATCTTCTAAATTTTTGAAGTTAGTCCCTTGTAACATAGGAGAGAATTTCATTGCATAAACAATCTGAATTAGAATTATCACATTCTATTATAAATGTTTTTAGGGTAATATTAGTATGTGATATTATTAAATTAAATGATTTTATAAACAATAAAGTGTGCATAGTTTTAGTGTACAGATGATTTTTGGTTGTTGATTTGTTGTATTTTATTGGAGTTCAATATCTGATTGGTACAGGAATTATATTTAAAATCAGAGATGAAAATGGGTAAATTACTCTCTATGTTCGAACATAGTTTCAATTAACCTTCCAAAGGGAAAACTAAATAATCGAGTAAGTTATTATGTAACCCCTCAGACACAGTCTGTAAGATAAACTCAAACTTAAGTGGTCACATATTTCATTCAGAGGTTTTTTAACTTATAGAACGTTAAATATAATATAGAACAAAATATTAATAATACAGATATGTCCAAAATTATAGCAAATACATGTCACCAAACATAACTGAAAAACATATAGAAATATATGTTCGTACAAAATAAGTAGTTGATTTCCCCTGATGCCAAATCTGCTAGTTCACGGTCTGTTGTTATCTGAAAAAGGGTAAAAACTATAGAATGAGCTAAAAAGTTTAGTGTGCTCCAAACAGTGTATAAAACATACGAATAAAATATTCCAGTAAAATCAGTTATCAAACATGTTCTATTTTTTTTTAAATATGAATATTACCCCCATCCATTAAGTCCAAATTGTGTAGATTCCCCGAACCATACACCCACCAACAAGTCCAGTAAGGCCCTGAGCACACATCAGAGGAGCCGATAAATAAGGTCCTGAGCACACAGCAGAGGAACCTCCAGGTATACTTCCTCCAACATTATTCTCCCCCAAATAATCATATTCCGCTTATAACGGATATATATATATATATCAAAAATTAAAACATAATTCAGGTCAAGTACAAATCAGAGTCCATGTCAAGTATCATATAAAAATTCAGGTCAAATATCATATCAGAATCCAGGTCAAAAATCAGATAAACTATTTATATGATAGTTTAAAACAGTAAAATAACACTACTAGGAAACACACCTGTAACAGTCTGGGAAATCAGATAGGGAAGCCTATTACTGGGTCTGTCGATCACGTTCTGCTGCAACGCTAGATCCTACGAATTGGAAAGATCCATATTGAAATCATAATATAAATAATCTAAATATTATTTAAATAATATACGGAAACCTACGGGTAATTCTCGTAGTACGCGGTTCAGGCTGATCTAACGAACGGATAACACCGGACCTAATTGATCATTGCTCAGGTGAAACACGAGTACTTTCATAAAATATTTTTATTGAATCAATCATTGACCAAATCTCAATTAAATAATCAAAATATTAAAATATTAAGCCTTCTGGGTTTACAAGCTCGATTCGGGAATTTCGGGTCAGAATTTGGCAAAACGGACTTAGGAATCAGATTTAGGACGTCGAAAATCATAAAGTATGACTTTCCGAAAATTTGAATTCTTGGTCAAAATAAAAGTCAACAGGTTTGACTGACGATTCAGAGACTTTCGGTTTTGAATTTTGTGAAACCGACCCCAAAAACGGATTCGGGACGTCGAAAACTGTCAGGATAGGTATTCTCGAAAAAGATTAACAGTTGTTTAATAGCCAGTCAAAGCCGGTCAAAGTTCTGGTCAAAGGTGGTCAACAAATTGTCAATCATTTTACAGAAATAGCACCTTTTTAAAATAATTACAAAATAGCACATTTTCAAATT